TGTAACCATTTTTCAAGAGTCTACTGTGGACAGGAATATTTTCAATGATATAATTGTAGGAGTCAAAATCCCATGACCTCTCCTTCCGTGGCTGCCTCCTCCTTTATTCGCTTCCCTTGCAAGTTTTCTAGTCCAAAATATAAGCCCTTTGGGAGTTTTGTCATCTGATTTCAAGAGAAAATTTGTTGCATAAATAGTTTCAAAGGATTAGTTAAGCACTGATTAGATGCAGGGTCAGTTTTCACAGCTTATGGGTCCTATTAGCATAACTCTGTGTGTAGGGACCCCTCATTTTCTGCTTTATCAATCTCTTTGGAACTGAAAAATATTTTTCCATCAAACACCAGTGTAAGCATTTTTCAGAGATCAACAGTGATAACATTTTAGAATCTGCATATATATTATTTATCATTTCTGTATAATACATTTTAAGAATTTCCAAGGAAAATGAAACAGCAATTAACTTGTCATACTAAGTTTCTGACCACAAAGTTTTTGTAAAGATTTATTTTTATTTATTTATATATACAAGAACTGGGGTGAAGGCTGGAGGTGTGGGTAGTGTCACCAGACACAGATTCAGGAGCAGGATAGATGGTTTTACTGAAATATACTGCTGAGGGGAGCAACAGGTGAGACAGGAGAGGTCTGCTGCACTATGTGGGTAAGTCCCTAGCCGGAGATTGAACTCGTGCTGCAGTGGCTCATGACAGCTTGCTATCGCTGATACCTTAACCCTTGTGTCATCAGGGAGACCCAACCAACCACAGAGTTTTATTTTTTATGTACTCATAAAAACAAACAAACAAAACACCTCTCTTAGTGATGTACTCATGTGGCAAACAATTATGTTCTCTGCCATTAAACACAGGACTAAAGAGCAGTCTTGCTGTTGAATTTCTGAAAGCAAAATTAGAGTATTAGAGATTCCATTTCATGTACCTACTTGCACAAATTTCTTACAAAAGTGAAATGGGGACAAAATATCGTCTTACATGGCTTATTTGAGACATTATCTTCTATAAGTATGCAGATATTTTCACATCTTAGATAAATGTATAGGTACATTGTTTATGACCATGCTGTAGCCCAGGGTTGCTCCTCCATATTTTACTGTAGCAATTGTTCCTTCCCTATCTAACATGATAAAATAGTTGGAAGAGCCCCTTTGGTGCTTGGATTGAGGAAAACAAGGCAGATGCCAGGGAAAGGGAAAATGGAAGCAAGAAGAGAGCTAGCAGAGTAGGGAGGAATATTATTTTTATTATTATTCATTATAATAATAATAATAATTATTATTATTATTATTTGGTTTGCTGGTTTTTCTTAATTTGTATAAATTTAGGTTTTATCCACCTATCTTTCTTCCTAACATTTTTCCTCTCCAATTTAGAATAATTATCTTGGTTAAGCTGTTACAACTAACTTTTATCTTCATTAGAAATTTCTTACCATATTCTACTTGTGCTATGATCATAAATGAACTAGTATTTAATAGAAATGCTGACTTACTTGACTAAAGGCATGCCACAAGTACTATTCAAAAATGTTACCCTCATGTGCCTCTAATTCAAAATGTTTTTAAATGATTTCATTTCTTTTCCACGTCAAATATATATGCAGAAGTAAATTTTCATTACACAGAAGTAAATTGACCTAAAAATAGTGATGATTAATAATAATGTTACTGCTGCATAATAGTCAAATAGTATAGATTCTGAAGTTGAGGAGACCAGTGAAGATGCTACTGCAGTGGGCCAGGCAACAGTTGATGGTATCTTGGCCTTTCTCTCTCTTTTTGTTGGTGGGAAGGCAAAATACAGTTTGGAGGTGTCTTACAAAGTTAAGAATTTGACCATTGTGCTCCTGATACTTACATTGTTGAAGTGAAAAAAAAAATCTACACACAGGCCCTTCCCGGTGGTGCAATGGGTAAGGACGCAGCACTGTAAGCAAGCTGCAGCCGCTTCAGTGTGAGTTCAATCCCGGGCCCTGGAGTTGACCACATGGCATGGCAGACCTCTCCTGACCTGCCTTCTGCTTCCCTCAACAGTGTACTTTGTCAGTCTGCCTGTTCTGTCCCTTTCTCTCTCTGGTGAATCCTCTCACCTACTGCACCTCTAGTTTGTACCCCAGTTCTGTATGCATAAATAAATAAATCTTTTTTAAAATCTACACGCAAATGCTTATAACAAGTTTGTTCATAATTGCCAAAACTTGAAAATAACCAGATGTCCTTCAATAGTAGAATTCATAAACAAATTATAATGCATCCATACATTAGAGTATAACACAGTAATAAAAATAAATTAGCTATTAAGCCATAAAAAGACAAAATGAAATTTAGGTTCAGACTGGCTAAAGCAGCATTTTTAATTATTCCAAATGGGATTTTTGTTATATTTTAAAATAAGTAACAGGGTTTATATGCTCTATTAAATGAATATTAATATAATAACTGATCTTTAATCACTTGATGAGAATATTCTCTTAATATATACCTATATAATTTAATACATATATTACATATATTTGACACATAATATAGTATATAATAGCTGACATATATATAATACACATTTATGCTTTTATTTAATCACCACAATTACTTAATATATCACTTTATATATAATTGACTCACAATTATATGGGCTGGCAAGTTGGGAATTTGCAGCATAAAACTGGACAAAGCTGGCAAAACTGGAAATTCTGACAGGAGTTAATGTTACAGTCTTAAGTCTGGAGGCAGAATACTTTTCTCTTTGAGGATTCTCTCCCTGATCTCTTCAAATCTCAGTTATTTTCGTGGCCCATTCACCACCAAAATTCTGAATATTCACCACCAATATCCTAATTCTGGAGGATAACCAGAATGATTCAAAGTACTAATTCACATGTTAATCACATATGAAATGTAACATCACAGCAATGTCTACCCTAGTGTTGGATGAAACAATTTACCCATAACTTACCCACATTGACATGTAAAATTAACCATCACACAAGTATTTGTTACTTTTCCAAGATTTGTTTTTTTCAAATATAGCATATCCCTTGCTTTCCCCCACACAGTCTCTTCCTTTTTTCTGATATCCAGTAACTCCCTTGAGTTTTGTATTCCTTCCTTCCTTCTCAGTAAATGATATAACACATCCTGACTAAGGATTTCTGGATCTAGGTGTCTGTCATTCTATTTAGATCAGCAGTAGAATTCTTGGAATACAGTGACATCACAGGATTACACCACAATGATTCCTATGCAACATGTTCTGTTCTATGCTTTTATTTAATCACCACATGAGAAATAATAGAAATGGCGTAATCTGTAAAGCCCTCAAAATTTCAAACTATGTAGTGCAATGTCTTCTGCCATTGGCCAAGGGAATTAATTTAAATGGGGAAAAAAATACGTTGCTGTGATTTAGGATGTCAATGTATTAAATTAAAATCAAAATCCTCCAAAAGTAAGACTCTAAAGAAAGTTAAAAATGATATAAAGTAAGTACTAACAGTATTAATTTAATCATGTCTTTTTACTTCTTATATTTAGAATTTTATAACTGCAGCACATATGTTGTTATATTTTTATAAGATTTCATAAATGCATTCATGCTTATTTAGTACCTTGAAAAATAAATAATTTCAAATGACTGTTTCCTATGAATTATATCAAATGATAGCACATAAAAGAGGTCATTTAGAGAAGTAAGATTTACTTTTCTGCATCTTGCATTTGACCTGTTTTTTGATAATAGTGGGTGTTTGGGGTGAGCTACTTGCTATTTTTGCCCTTCTGTGAGCTTTCCCTCTCTAGATGGTGTGTGACTTTTTTCTGGGACTTGAACACACGCTGGCTTCTCTGTCTTCCTTTCATCAGTTAGCTCATAATCCTATGGCCTCGTTCTGTGATGAAAGATTTACTAAATGAATTGCCCCAAAGGTCAAAGCTAAATTGTGTCAAAAATGGCTTTGAGTTATTAAGTTGGTGAACTGACATGGAAATAATTTGAGTCTGGTGATAGGCAGAGCTGGTTTATGTTATTCTGGATGCAAAGCTTAATTGCTCTGTAAAGCTCTGTGTGTATGTGTGTGTTTTGTGGGAACCTTTCACACTGTCTTGTCAGTTCATACATTTAGGAAGTTCTAGATCACTGGATCTGACCAACCTTAAAATGAGGATATTGCCTTAGTGCCCTCTGTGAGTACAGCTATTCTCACTCAGTCCAATCAATGTTATCTGCCAGGAGCTAATACAAGAGAGTGGGTGTGCAGTGTCTTCAGTTCAAATTCACTTCTTCCCTCAGTTGATTGCCTCTGCTGGCTGTCTGAACCCATCAGATCTCTAACCTCAAGACATCTTTTGCTCTTAACTGATGATATTTCTATTCCATTTATTCTGGCTCAGTTACCCTAAGAGCAATTTTCAAGTAATCCATTTTTTACCTTTAACCTCTGATGTTGTTATATGAGTCATTCAAATTATTATTTTCCCAATGTTTACAGGTACCAATCAAGTTAATAGTGCTTGACAGTGACTTTGTAAACTTCATGGCTTTATTCAAATAACATGAACTATCTGTATTAAATATACACCAGACTGTTAAATATAAGACATGTGCCTTCAAACTACTCCCTCCCTTTTTACACACTCCAGTTTCCATGATAGCAGCTATCTGGTTATGAACTTTCTTCCCTACCTTATTTTTATTTATTATTATAATAGTATAGTAATAGTAATGCTGACTTTGGTACCTCCAGACTGGTACTTAATGTTTGGGAACCTGCAAACTCTCAAGTCTGTTAATCCTTTACTTTCAGAGATGACCAATTTGAGAAATTCAGTCTTTTCCAAATGTTAACCCAATCATTTTCCTTTTCTTAGATTGTTTCTTTTAAAGAACGGTCAGAGTGTGTGTATTTTAGATCCTATTGCAGTGCGTGTTTTGTCATTAGATTTTTTCACTTTTTGTCTGAAATTTAGTTGTTTTGAATTTTTGTAGACGACTGCTGGATACCGAAGATGAGCTTGGTGACATTCAGTCAGACTCAGTCCCACTGGAAGTCCGGGACTGGTTGGCTTCTACCTTTACACGAAAAATGGGGATGATGAAAAAGAAATCCGAGGAAAAGCCAAGATTTCGGAGCATTGTGCATGTTGTTCAAGCTGGGATTTTTGTGGAAAGGTAAGTGACACTGCTAATATCTCAGAAATAAAATATGAAAGACAATAACTATAATTACTAGATGAAAGTTATGAGAGTACTCTATTCTACTTAGAGAGGAATTCTTAAGCAGTCATATGACTATCTAGAATGAACTGATACAGGACTTTATGATGAACTAAGCTGTCCTGGATTTAATTTTTATTTCTTATTAGCATAAGATTGAAAGCAAAGGTATTGAGTGACAGTTCTCAAAGTTTTGGGAATAACTGTTTAAAAACAACCATATCACATTCATAAATACACAATAATTTTACTCAAATAAAATGTGATACCTCATAAAATGAACTCTGTGTAACAAAATAAAGCAGTAATTCTCTGCACTAAAGAAAAGGCCATCTTCTTCCCATGTAGTAGAAAATATCTTACATATTGGCTTTCAAATAGCTTTTTAAACATTTCTGCCAATGAAGCAAAGAAGCCTGAGGTCAAATCACTAAGTTTCTGATATGAAATACATGTAATGTGGCCCAATTTTACATTCATTTTTGCTCTTAAGAACACAATTTATTTTTCTGTCTAGGAAGCACGATGTTCCAGAAAAAAATTACAGAAAGGGTTGAAATAAACACATTACCTCTGACAATGTGAAAAATTAATTACTAGAAATCCTCAAATTAAAAAAATAATCAAATTATATATTAAAACATTATTTTAACACTTCTGAAACTAATAAAATTTTAGAACAAGGAAAACTTTTTCAACAATGTAACAATGTGCTTATAATTAATTTAAGGGAGACCATCTTCTAACTTTTAAAATGTGTAAATTCTGATAATAATTTATACTACCTCATGTAATTATCATTTGGGGGGGAAATCTATAATGATAATATTTTAATGACACTGAGTTGTCCAGACTGAAAATTTTGGAACATAAATGGGCACATAACAAGAATACTTTGCTGTCATCAATCTGGTAGCATGCTGAGAGTGCTGGCTTTGCCCAAAGTACAACTCCTTTTAGTAAGATGAAGACAAGGTAAAGATATCTTTACCTAGAAACTAAAATTATATTGATTTTAGTAAACAAAATACTATTAACATCTACTGCATTATACATGTTTAATATATGGTGATCATAGTTATCATTGTTTCTTAAAAGGAAGTCTGTAACTAATGATAAAGGTGAACAAGCTAACGTTAATCTTTCCCATATATTTATGAGATAGTTGAGCACTGTGAATAAATGAGCTTTATGTATACATTTATTTTTTCTTTTCTAGGATGTACAGAAAGTCCTATCATATGGTTGGTTTGGCATATCCAGAAGCTGTCATAGTAACTTTAAAGGTGAAATAATTTTTTTTTATTTTAGTTTTTCAATGAGTTATTTTTTTTTTCAAATCTTCCTAAAATGACAGGGGAAAAAATGAGGATAGGTTTTTTCTGCAATCTATATATTGGAGTATAAATATTATTTTAATATTTAAAATGTAATTGCTCCAAATGTTGGCATATTGTAGATAAAAGGAGCTTGATATAACTAATAAACTGCAACAATGTATAATGCATGTGTGTAAAAACATGTGCTGTTATTCCTTCTTCAGCTTTGTCTAGGTGGACATTGAATTCACTTTTGAAGTAGCATCCAGGCTTGTCAAAACTACATATTTTGTTAATTGTTATGTATATATTATAGAATTGTTATGTATATATTATGAATCATAAAAAAATTTTCAATCAACTATAGTTAAAGGGCAAAAGTTACATGGGAGAAGTGTGCATCACAATTTAGGCCCGAGAAGATATAAAAAGTAAGGTAAAATTTAACAAATACAAAAATAAGAAATTCTTTTCTCTTCTATCTGGTTTTTCCTTTGACTCCAGTTTGAGGGCCAACTATGTTACTCTATGTTAGAGCAAGAGTAGAAACTGAAGCGGTGAAAGTTTTGACTGCCTTTTCATGTGTGTGTTATTTCTAGACATTTCTACAAAAGCACATTAGGCTCATCATTTTCGGTTGCTTATTTCTTTCTTATTTAATTAGAGTGGCAGATTTAACTTGGTCTTCTCGAATAATTTCATGGTAATTTTCCTGTATTAACCAAGAATTTAAGGGGTACTGGCAACAGGATATCCTAGATTGTGTTATTTCTGATTTATTAAACTCCATTTCTAGTTTAAATTTATATTGCTTTGTTATAAAATTTTATTTCGAACAACACTTTGTTTTGTCTCTGATGCATATTAGATTTTAATCTTAAAATTAAAACAGCATTTCCTTTTTCTTGGGTTTTTTAAAAAATTATATTTCTAAAGCTGTAATAAAGATAGCTATTTAGCTGACAAGGTGCATTAGAGGATATTAATTACTACTTGGTGCTTGAGAGATTTTTATTTCCTCAAATATGGGTAAGAAAATTACTTGTTTTATTTTTAAGAAGTATTGCTTTAAAAACAAACAATATTTCAGTATGTAAGAATGTAAATGTTTTACTAAAATGTGCAGAGAAACATGAACTAACACATTTATTACTAAGGAATATTTTTAGTTAAGTAATTCCTATTTACTGAAATACCTCCTTCCCTTGTTTGTTTTCAGTCTGACAGTGTAAGAGCCAAGTATCTGCATTAGTGTATAAATGTAAATCATCATTGCTGATAAAAACCCTCAAGAAATGGAGAACTAAACTTTTACTCAGTGGGAAACCCATAACATACCCTATAAATAGCAACCTTGTAACAGTCTGAACTAATTCTGTGTTAGCTTTGGAATTTGATGAAAGATTTGCTGGCCTCCTTTGAGCTTTACTCATGGCAAAATGCATTCTAACAGAACTTTCAGAGATTTTTAATTTACAATCAGATAAGCAAGTGTTTGGGGGATCAAATCAGGTCAAATGCAAGGAATTTAACAAAGGCACGCAAGCAAACCAAAAAAATAGGGGTCCTTCCATGTGACACTAGTACTGGTTTTCTTTAACAGTATTTTCAAAAGAGAATGTTTTAATACTTTTTATCAGATTTTCAGTTTATTTTCACTATGTTACAGTATACACAGTTGACTCCTTAAAGTGTGCTTAATGAATAAAGTTCTAAATAGTGTCTGCTCAAATTCAAAATCAGTGCATACCTTTAAGGTTGCCTATATATTGTCCAATACTAAGTCTAGCATGTATATGTAAACACTAAATAGACCTTTACTAATAGTTTCTGATAACCATTAAAATTGATTCTGCTTAATTTTTTAATCTCCTCTATTTAGTATCAAAGCTCAAACTTTAAATTAACATCTCCTTGGTGTATAGTATTATTATCATTTGCTACAAGTATACTTTGTGGATTCCTCTGCATGGTTTTGCCTTAGAATTAACTTGAACAAAATCATGAATTAATTGGAATGGTTTGATATATTGCTTCCTGTTCCCAGCTGTTGGGAGGGTTACATTCTAAAGGAGCCCAATTCCCTATAATCTTATCACTCCCTGAGGGAATTGCCCAAAATGGCAAATATCACCACTTTCTTCCTCAGTCAGAAGGTCCACTTCCTTTATCTTACCATGTGTGCTTGGGCAAGAGTATAAATGAACGAGCCAAGATGAGAGTGAGTAATAGGTAATATAAACTGGGCCTCTCTGGGGTATTTGCATTTTAATAATGTGATATCTAAGCTTTAAACCAAATTACTGACTTTTATGGTACAATTTCAGACAATTGTGGCAGATAGGTGCGTAGACTGAGGCTATCTTACCTCTATCCCATAATTGATACCACGCACATGTAACCTGAAAATTAATCTTAAAATAGGTCCACTCTGGAAAAATGACTTATGGCCTAAGTTTGTAAGGATAAGGGCAGTATTAGAATGTCATCAATTTTGTTTCATCAAGTTTGATAACTTTGGAATTAAGGAGAAGATTTTGACACGATATTAAGAATTATGGCCTCACTTATGTGGACCCCTGGGTACTAAGTGGCCTTGTCATATGGGATGCTGGTAAAAATACAGTTTTATGCGCAGAATTGAAATCTGAAACTGCTGAATGTTTATCTGTAATCTTCTCAAGAATTTTTCACACAGACAGAATTATATGATATTGTCACCTAATGTATTTATTCTTTTTCTACAGGATGTTGATAAATGGTGTTTTGATGTATTTTCCTTAAATGAAGCAAGTGGAGAGCATAGTCTGAAGTTTATGATTTATGAACTGTTTACCAGATATGATCTTATCAACCGTTTCAAGGTCAGAAACATGGGAGAAAAGTGAAGTGCTGTTAGATTTAGTTATCTGAAAAGAATGAGAATACAGAACATTAGATCATTAATAAATCAACTTGGTAATGTTTCTAGTTAGTGGGTCACAGGACCACTGTGACCAGTTCACTATTTGATAGCAGCACCATTATCCAGAACTCACTGACATTTCTATATCCACCTGGAGATCATCAGGGCATTATAGCCTCCTTCCAACCAGATACCAGCATTCTCTTGAATTACTCCAAGAACACCCACACAGTGATGGGAATCTGTATCTAAAGAAATATGACATCTGTTCTTTCTAAAACACGGAATAAACCTGTAGTGGCACTTTTCTAAGACTGAAAGGGCTTCTAATTAACTTAATTTAAGGTAATCTAAACAACATATTTGATCCTGGCTTCTGAGTAGTTTGCAGCCTGTTACTTACCTCATTACCTAAGGAACCTGGGAGGTACTGGGAAGCAGTGCATCATAACACCCATGTATCAGATAGGAAAACTAGACTTTCCAAATTGTAATTGGAAAATTTTGCCACTTGAAGAACCAACTTTTTCACTTAACTTGAGAAGTGTGAATTATAACATATTACTTCATCTATCTTAGTTAAATGCTTGGGGATTATAACCCAGCCCCAGGATTGAAAGCTAACAGGCCAGTAAAGTGGTTTTGGGGAAAAAAAAATTCACATTTAACTTTGGGGAAAAAAAAATCACATTTAACTTCAACAAACTACCATCTATGAATGACTCACTAAGTTATCCTATCCTAAACATTGTTGTGCTTATGCTGTTTTAGTGTCTCTCTTTGGGCAAAATATAACCATAATTATTTCTTTCTGTAGATTCCTGTTTCTTGCCTGATTGCCTTTGCAGAAGCTTTAGAAGTTGGTTACAGCAAGCACAAAAATCCATATCACAATCTGATTCATGCAGCTGATGTCACTCAAACTGTGCATTATATAATGCTTCATACAGGTATCATGGTAAGCAAGTTTTCTTATTAAAGTTTGTTAGTTTGGAAATACCAAATTCCAAACTCTTAAATTCCCATTGTCTCCTCAATGTCTATGGAAGTAATATACAAAATAATCTATTGGATTGTTGACGGTTAATGAGTTGTCTGTAATTCATATTTTTTTCAAAATATATTTTGACAGGAATACAATTCTCAGGGAAGAGTGAAATTATGCTGCAAATTTCAAAAATTTGGGCTATTATGGAACATTGTTTGTAAATTCCTTTTCTGATAGAAATTAATAAAAAAGTGATCTTGAAAAAGTCTTTACAATGAAAGTTAACTATAGTACTCTCCCCGCCTCATCACGCCCCTCAATGCGAACTTTAGTTGCTTTTTCTCATATACTCGCAATGCTAGTCAAACATGTCTAAGAGAATGTTGGAAAATATTCATGTGAATTTTTCCAAATTGTCTTTTCTTTTTCTCTCTGACCAAATCAATGAACAATGGATGAATGATTCATCCATGCACTCCTGAGGCAATAAAGAAGAGATGCAGAAATTTCAGGCAATACTATCAATTCCAGGGCTGAGAAAAGGTTCCAAATTGCAACTGGTTTCAGGGGTATGGGCCATGTGAGTCCCAAATTTTGGATTTGCAGTGAAGTCCTACTTTGAAGAATGCAGAAATCTCAAATCTCCCCACATGCAGTGGCATGGCCCTCTAGAAAACTAAACTGTGAGTGTTGACATCATGCCTACTGTTTCTCTGCCCTTTAAGCTGTATCTATGGGCACTGTCTACTTAAGGAGTAAATGTGCCAATGAGCCGATTCAAAAGTAGTCATGTCTGGACATGGTCCCTGGTTGAAATTCACTCACCATTCATTCCAAGAGTCTGATTTGACATTTAAAGGCAGAAGCAGTGGAAACTTACTAAGTGGAAACTTAAACATCCAAAGATAAAGCTTTAAAATATTGTGGGCTTTTAAAATAATAATATATTCAACCTTCCTTGTACTGTTTTCTCTTTCTAGCTCATCTGTATTTGCACACACACAAGCACACACAGAAAAATTCCTTTAAAGCTCTTTAGATTTAATAAGATTTCATTGTTACAGCTGTTTCTTGAACTCTTTGCTTTCACTTGGTTTGATATGCATGACAATATGAAAAACAAAGTTTCTCTGACAGCTGCAAATGTTATTACATTTGAAAAAGTTGCTTTTATATCTTCCTGGTTAGAGATGTTCACATTTCCCTTTCTAAGGCCGTGGTCTTGAATCTGATAGGTGATTTTTATTTCAAGTGTTTGGTATTTATTGCTGCTTTTCTGAATTCTATGGCTTCACAAACCTTAACTGAAAAATGAGATATTTGAGCGTTATTCTGAATTGAAAACTAAATTGTTTAAGTTTCCTCAGGACAATAGGGAATGGAAAATAATAAAGCATCTACTTTAATTATGAAGTACAGTGAGAAATTACATGACATATTATTCTGGGAGATAATCAAGATTTCATCATTTTAATTTTTTTTTTTTGCTACCAGTGTAAATGGAATCAAATTAATCTCCTCTTTCAGCATCAGAACCTCTGTTTTTGGGTGACGTTGAAGAGATGAGGGCTATTATATTAGTGGATAAATAGAAAAATTCAAATCCACAATGTAATTTTACTTTCACACTTGCAAAGAAGACTTGCTCCAGGATATAACTAGTCATATCAAGTTCTCTGGACAAGCCTGGCATGATTCCTAAAAAGTAGTTTCATCAAAAATCATAAAGGAAATTTTTTGAGAGGACTATGGCTTTACTTTAGCAAGTTATTTTGGATGTTATTCATCCTTTAGCTAAAAAAATAAAAACAAAACAATAAAGACAGTGGGCTCTTTATGGCAGCATCTGTTTGGCCATTACAAAAATCTGGTGGGGGTGTGAACAGCAGTGTTCAGATCAGAAAAGAGGGCACCCAGTGGACTACTGTTGAGGGGGACTATAGATGCCATGGTGGTGAGCAACAGACATCTGGATAGGTATGATCTTACACCTCTGAATCACCTACACTATTGTCACCAGAATTACCTTAATAAAAAATTAAAAATAAACGAATTAATAAACATAAAACATAGTGAAAGAAAGGCAAATCATTTTAAGAGTTCATTGGCAATTTTGTTAAAACTAAGTTAAACTAACACCTTGGCAGTTTTTGGAAGCTATTTTTTTCTTTAAAGATTTACTTATTTATTCATACAGAACTGGGGTACAGGCCAGAGATGCGGAGGGTGGGAGGATTCACCAGACACAGAGTGGGGAGCAGAACAGGCAGATCGACGAAGTACACTGTTGAGGGGAGCAGCGGGCGGGTCAGGAGAGGTCTGCCATACCATGTGGATCTCCTCCGGGGCAGGCGGGAATCGAACTCATGAGGAAGTGGCTTAATCTTCTTAGTGCAGTGCTTTAACCTGCTGTGCCACCAGGGAGGGCCTGGAAGCTATTTTAATAAGGTTTTTTACTAAATAAAGGAAGGTGATAGTGAGTATTAATTTTCAAACATACATACATTAAATGTGTTGGTTTTTTGAAATAAAAATAAAGCATTATGGAAAAACTCATTTAGCTGTATTTGACATTGAGAAGACTGCCCACTACCATTAGAGTTATGGCTGATGCCCTGCTGCTTTATGGAGGGCTTTTTTTGGGCGCTGTTTCAAAGTGAGCAAGTATGTGTTGGTGTCCTCCAGTAGCAGCCCCACACAGTTGGGTGACTGTCTCTTGAAAAAGGTCCGAGCAGCATTGTCAGAGATGAATTGCTATGAAGCCATTTTCCTTTAGTTTATTAGTGTCACAGGGGACACCTTTACGCCAAGGAATAGGCTGTACGGAGGTGAGTCGATTCTAGTGTGTTCTCTACCTCCTCCTCTCCCTGGCAGTTGATTAATACATCGCCCTGTGCCACAGTGACAGTGTGTGTGGCAGTTCCATTCATTTGTTAAAGAGTAAATGCTTCACTGAGTGCTGCCAAGTCACCTCTGAATGTCTCTTTAAATAGGAAATCACCTTTAAGGTCTTCGTAAGGGAACACTCGAATCTGAGTGCTTCTGGCACTGTGTTCTGTCTAAAAGGAAAAGTGGAAGAGAAATTGACTTAAAATCTCTTCCCTTTACTACTTGTATTCCACTGATTATACCCAGAAATAGCCTCCTACACTTTGGAGTGACCCAATTTTTCTCCAACAAATTTGTAGAAAATTTGTCACTAGATCTCTACAGAATGTGGGAACTCTGTTCTTGTATGTGGCTTCTCAAAAAGCATTGTTTGGAAGATTGAAAAAGCTGTAGCCTTTCTAGCAATCAGACAAAGGTTTGAAACCCTGTTCCTCCACTTTCTAGCTTGAGTTCCCTTGTCACTAAAGTTTGGTTAATAATACTACCTCCTTTTAGGATAGCAGTGTGTAGTTGATGTTATACATGTAAAGCATCAAACTTAGTTCCTGAAACATAATAACTATTAACATAGACTATTATATATTATGTTAACTTAAGTACTTGAATTATTAGTATTAGTATTATTATATACATTTACTTTCATGCAGAATAAGTTGTGGAAAACTACTTCAGCTAACTCCACAGAATAGAACAAAAGAGGTGTCTAACCCTGTCAGTTAGGCTAATGAGTCATTAAATATATTTTTTTGGATATACTAAGAACTATGGGTCAATGTGATTTTCTGACCTGAGGTTCCACCAGATCTATATATACTCAGATACTTTCTCTGTTACACACACAGACATTCTCTCTCTCTCTATCTGAATAATTCAGATATGAAAATTATATCCTTTGAGTTTAAGTCTTAAATCAAACCTCTGTTAGCTTCTATCCATACATAAATCTAGTTAAATTTTTATCTAGAAATTCTACTTTTGAGATCCTTTTCTTTTATGTTGTTTTCCATAGGAAGAATATTGTGACTTGTGGCAAAAACAGAAATTTGGGATAAGACAAATTTGGTTGAATGCCAGCTCTGCCACTTAGTAGCAATGTGACCTTTGACAGGTTGATTCTCTTAATTAGGGTTCAGCTTTGTTATCTGCCAAAATAAGGATAAAATTGCTTACTTAGGAAATGGTAACTAGGGTAGTTTAAAAAGTTGAGTGAGACCATCTAATTAGTGTTTGTAATTAATATTTCCTTCCTCCTTTCAGCCACCATTACACATGCTATTAATGGTGAATAATTACCTATGATATAATCTGAGGATTACCCATTTTAGAGAAGTCTACCTGAGCAATTCTTCAGGAAATGTACAGCTTAAATAACAATGCCTGAAATGCTAATGAGTCATCATTTTAATCCTTTATTTCTGCCCTTTAGGAATTAGAAGAACCTAGGTTATGTGTTGACTGGCTACTGTTCTAATTGGGAAGAGAGACAACTACACCCTATTCTCTTTAGCTTGTCTTTCATGAATCATCTACAAAAGTTATGGATTTAAGCATTTATTTTATGAATAGGATACTCATTGACACTAGCAACAATGACCTGACAACTAAGGAGTTAAAATTCTACATTCACTAATATAAAATAGATATTTTTTCAATTTAGTGTGAAAGTTCTATGTTTCTCTCTCACAAACTGTTTTATAATATAAATTTAGCTAGTAAAACTAGCATAGCTATAATTAATAGATTCATGGGGAAAGTACAATTTTGGGAGACAGAGACTAAAACCAGTAAACGTGTATAGTCAATTTTGACAACTATCTATATATATAGATATATATCTATATATATATCTATATCTATATCTATCTATATATATATATATATTACAATTTTTGGCTACATAGTCTATATTATCATAATAAAAAAACGCCTTTTAAAAAAAAAATTACAGTTAAATCTATAAATCACAAGTATAGCCATTCAGAAATATTTAAGAATATGGGTGATTATTTTAGGAACACTTTTCTTTAATGAAACAGCAGACTTCCAGTGGTACAAAATGGTTTAAATTCAGTTTCTATTCATTTCATGGTGTTTAATTCCATAGCCTCATGGGGAATTGTATGCTCAGTACAAGTTCAGCCTATAATAGAGGCTATTAATAAGGTTGTTTACCTTGTTTCAGGTAATGACTTACAATTAAATGCACCTACAAACGAAAAACCGCTTATTTTGTTATCCTCCTTTAGGTCTCAAAATCATTTCTGCTTCGGTCATATAACTGTAAGCCATTTATGTTTGAACTGCAATCACTAAAGATATGTTTGTTTACTATTACTTTCCAAATTCAACTTAAGGTAAAAAGTTCAGTAAACTGCTATTTATTCTGTATTTTACTATATGGCAAGACTTGTAATAGGTATTGTAAACTTCTTTTAAAATTCCACAGGCAAATGATCACTAATTCTACTTTCATGGGAACTATAGCGGAGAGGATAAATAATATTTGCCTAAGGATCAACCAAGACTTAAAACCAAGAATGCCTGATTACACAGTCTCTTTCTACTATTCCCTAGTCCTTCCTCCTGGCAAAACTAGTGAAATTCAACTCAAATGACAAATATTAAATTCCTACTATGTACTGAATACCATGATAATTTATGTGGAAGGAGCAAAGATTAAAGACCGTGACGTTTTCAACCACAAAATCCAACAGTTGTCTCCTACTTTAGTTTTGACTTTTACCTATTATACAAAATCTAAATTTGCCATCTAACATAGTTGTATGACTGGCCGTGAAGTTTCTGTGTAGATCTTAATAGTCATACTGCATCTTGCTTTCTGTTTAGAACTTTTCTTCAGACTCCCTGATCCCAAACTTACAATTAGTTACCTATATTTGTTCATACTTCCTCTAGGATCTAATGCTACCAAGTAGAAATTCTATTTGCCCTTTGATTACACCTTTATTCTGTCACCTTTTATTCAGTATGCCTGTAGTTTTTGTTTTAGATTTGTTTTTTGCTTTATACAAAGTCTTTAATTATGCAATTATATGGACTAAAACCACTAATACAAGCTCGACACCATTTTAAGCCTCTTTTCTTACTATCAAGTTCTATAGAATTTTCTGTGGCAATGGAAATACTTTACATCTATACCAGTCATTTTCCACATCTTAACTATTGAGCAGCTGAAATGTAGCTATGGTGACGGAGAAAGTGAATTTAATTTTATTTAACCTATTTCTAGTTTAAATAGTCATATGTAGTTATCCATATTGGACATTACAGTGTTATACAACATGTAAGTGGTAAATAAACTCTTGACTTACCTTAATAATTGCATATTGAATACTTATCTATGAGTTACCTAAATTAAATCCAGTATTAAAAGAAACAAAGTAGAAGAGATATTTTATTAAACCATTCAAGTTATAACAGTAAGTTCAATGTATATGAAGTAAAAAGTCTGTATTTTATTTAAAGCATTTATCCTTTTTTGTTGCTATGAGTTTTAAATTTACAGTCTTGAATATAAGCAATGAAGAACAATTGTGGTAAATTCTTGAACAGTTGCAAATCTTTACAAGGCAGAAATTAAGTTCAGTTTCTCTAGTAAACAAAGTGAACTTTTTCTATGCTCCAATGGAAACTTTTCTCACAGTAGAGTGCTACAAAAGTTAAACTCGAGGCCCTCCCTGTGGTGCAAAGGGTTAAAGCACAGCACTATGAACATGAGTTTGATTCCCTGGCCAGGGAAGTGACCCACAAGGCATGGCAAAAATAAAAAAGTTGAACTACAGACATATTAATGTATGTGCTATCTGTTAAAACTAACTCAACTGGAAGATTTCATGAGAGTATAAGTGGTAAGGCTGAGAGCTCAAAATCCAGTAAGTGGGCATGTTTTAAATCATAGAAAAGTACTTATTTTTAAAAAAATGAAGAATATGGTATAATGTTGGTATTGTGAACTTACAGATAATGAAGAATCATGGACTTCATGAAGCATCCATTATGCACAGTTAATTGAGGAGAAATGGAAAGAAAATATATTCAAAATAAAAAAATAACGATAAGATTGCTTAGACTAGGTGCACTGAAAATCTTTTTTTTTTTTTTTTGAATGACAACATGACTCTTTTTTCTCAATCTAATGGAATCTTTCTTTAATTTATTAGCACTGGCTCACTGAACTGGAAATTTTAGCAATGGTCTTTGCTGCTGCCATCCATGATTATGAGCATACAGGAACCACAAACAACTTTCACATTCAGACAAGGTAAGTTAGATAAAGTATTAACTTTTCAAAGTTAAAATCTGAAATTTATTTTTCTTCACATGAGACTATTTAAATATAATGAATAGCTCTAATAATAATATAATTTAAATAGAATACAAATAATATTAAATTGTGTAAGACAATGTCTCCCTGACTTCACACTTGAGCATCATACAAGATATTAACTCGTGATACAAATCTTATAACACACTATTTAACGCACCAACTTGGTATCAGGATATTTGTAAGTAATAAAATTTCACTTTGGAAACATAATGAACAATCAAAGAAATCTTATTTCCAGGTTAGCATGATGCAGTAATTTTAAAATAATTGAGAAAAAAAATTTAAATGGCAATTATTAAGGTTAAAATATCAGTGGAAGTATATTAGCCTGCTGGGGAGGCCATCAAAAATGACCATAGGTTGGGTGGCTTAAGTAACAGTACGTTGTTTTCTCAACTCCTGGAGATTAGAATCCCTAAATGAGAACTGCAGCAGGTTTGGTTCTCCTGATGATTCCCTCCTGGGTTTGCAGACAGCCAGGTACCCATATGTGCCTATCATGGCTTTTTTTCTCATGTGTGATTCTCCCTCTCCCTAGTGTCTCTTTCTTTATAAGAAACACAATTATATTGAAATAGGGACCCACCCTTGTATTTAATTTAATCTTGATTATCTTTTTAAAGGTTTAATTTCCAATATACTCTTGTTCTAAGATACTGGGGATTAGGGCTTCATTATATGAATTTTGGGAACACACAATTCAGTCCCTTATTGCATGGGTTGTACAAATGTGTAATGTCATGAATTCACCATTAGAAAATACACATTTTCACTCCCCCAAGCCACCTGTTTTTCATTTACCTAGTCTTTCCCTATTCTCTTTATCCCTGGCAACCAGTGATCATCTTAATATCTGCTGTTTTGCCATTTCCAGAATGTTACATGGCTCAAATCACACAATACAAAACCTTTCAGATTGGAGACTCTTGACAATATGGAACAAGACACTTTTCATGGCTTGTTAGCTCATTTATTTTCAATGCTGATAATATCCTATTGTGTGGATATATCAGTGTGTTCACCTTGTACCCACTAAAGGAGATATCAGTTGCTTTTATTTTGACACATATGAATAAATTTGCTATAAACATCTGTGTTCAAGTTTCTATGGGACTGGTTCATTTTTCTTTAATAGCATCTTTCATCTTTAATAATTTGTACTACTTCTAGCTATAGGGAGTTAATATTTTGATATGAAGCATAGAAGCATGTCTTCAAGAACTAAAATGTCTAAGATATTAATAAAATATTTCTAAACATTTATGGTTGATATGTACCTAAATGTTAGAATATAAGATATTTTAGAGCTTCTAAAAAACCTGAAGTTACTAAGATATACATTATAGATCATCTGGTTTAAATCTCACATTTTGGAAAGAGAAAATAATTTCTCACGAGGTAAAATGACCTATTTATATATACACAGTCATCTTATGGCAGTGACAGAACTGGGAGAGGAGCCTTTACTTTTAATCCAACGTACTCATCCAGCTCTGCTCCCATGCTCAGACAGACGATGATAGCTTTCACATTGAAAGTCTGAAATTGGAGAGGGTTATAAATCACAGCCCCTTGGTGGAGACAGTGGAAGAGCTAAAATTTAAACAATAAATTGTTGAGAAGATATTCTCTCTATCTTTAAGTCCCCAAACTGACAGAGTATGAAAGGAAGAGGAAGACCTTAAAGTCTGGGGGTACATTAGGAATGTGATTGACACACAGGTTTGTAGGTTATAGGAATGTGGTTGTTTTTATTGTGCTAAAGTTCAAAGGAAAGTTTGACTATGCAGATAATTTTTTCTGATCAAAGACTGTTCTACAACCGCCAAATCCATATTAAGTATACTTTATTTAGACAACTCACTTTGGAGCTGAGGCCTATATAGAACAACTTTGGAAAGTGGAGACAATGAGCCAGCCTTCTCCATCAGCAGTTATCAGGTCACTTCAGCTTTCTCCATTTACAAATAATTTACAATGAGATAAAGAACTCTGATGCACTTATGTATTGGACTGCAGAGAAGATGGAGAAAAATAAGACGAAAGAGGAGGGGGAGGTAGAGGAAGGGAAGGGAGTAAAAAAGGAAAAAATGAGGCAGTGGAAGGAAGAGGTGGAGAGGGAAAGCTGGAGGAAAGGGAGCAATAGGAGGAGGAAGTTTCCATATTTTCCCACTTTATATTAAGAAATTCTGTATAAAAAAGAGGGCCAATCTGGTATTTTACTTATTTTCTTATAAATTACAAAATTGTCTACTGGAATCAATTATTTGGATGAATTTTACAAAAACTTTTAAAAGTCTGATCAAAATGTTTTTGATTGATGTTATTGACAAATACCACAAATACAGCCATATAACATGCCTTTGAATATGTGTCACTATTTTCATTCACAGTTTGTCCAAAGAGAAAGGTCTTAGGTCACTGATAACAATAATTGTATTTTATATTATTCATTGTTGCTTGAATTGGTAGTGCTTTTCTAATATGGAATTCTATTTACTGGATAATGCAAAATGAGTGAAAATAATTTAGGACATTTGCAAAGCTAGATTTGAGTTCAGTACAGATATTATAATTCACAAAATCCTTGAAAGTGTAAATAAACAGAAATAATTTCTTTGTTAAAAAGCACTTTAAGCTACATGTTACCATGGATACTGGATGTTGCTTAGAATCTTATTCTTAATGTCAAAGACCATCTGAAACATTAAGACCATGCTGTATTCTCAGCACCCTATTAAATTTATGAAACAAAATCATATATACTATACTGGAATTAAATTTGGTTCAAAAAAATCTTTGTATGTCAGAAGAAATATACAGTAATGCTTGGAAACATGTAATGTAATAACCTTGGCAATACTGCCTGGTTAGAATTGAGGTCATATAATATAAATGATGTGATTTGTAAACATTAGGTTTTCCTATCATTTCAGTGAACTTCTGTAAATACAGAGTTATTTTTACATGACAAGTTCTGTTTAATTTTCTATTAAACAAGGATTATTTGTATATTTTTCTATTTCAGTTTCTATATATAGTCATGTATCTCATAGCAACATTTCTCAGATGAACCATAAATACAATTGTGGCTCCTCTATATAGGTTATGTGTATAGTAAACTATACCATCTGAATTTGTGTAAAAATAC